ACACGCGGGATACCACGATGGTCTTTAGGTGCATTCCAGGGCGTTTTTATATTGTACATGGTGCGTGAGGTGCCATGTGGAGTAGAGCACCGAACATATTGGACACTAGTCTTTCGATGGGTTGTTTCTCCCCCTATAGAACAGAACGTTTGTGCTCCGTAGGGTCATGCCTTTAAGCACTGGGTATATAGATGTATTCAATACGATACCGATCGAGCCTCACCCTCGCGTTGTCCGTTCAGCTGCACTTCTCTGCTGAGGGTTGCAATGTCATTGTCGTGAACGATGCAGTGCCACTCGTACCATGGATAAGCTCTCTCCTTCAATGAAACCCGGGTCGTAATGGTGCTCGTTGCTGAGGGGTAGGCATGACGATTGGAAACGGAGCGCATGTTGCAGTGATGTCAAATACGGGACAGGGGTTGTTGACGAGGCAATTGAGCACTCCCTCTGATGGCAAAAGTCAGTTCAATGAGCAGACATGATTCATTCGCTCAAGGAAGCAGAAGCTGATTCAAATTACCGATGTATATTAAGATGTTACGGAGATAACGTTTATACTCGTTTTGCAATGGAGTCTCCACGAGACCGAACCTGAAGTATCTACCCGATCCTGGACAATCCGGTGATCTTTACGCCAATGTGATAAAGATATTGTGAACAAATTGGCCCAGACTCATTGGTATCTTCATGTCTTCAAAAGCGTAAAACCATATGGCAATGACATTAAATACACGATTCTGCTGCTTGTCCTCGGTGATGTTGGAACGAAGTCAGTCGATCCAGTCAAAACCACATGCGAAATAGATGTCAGACCGAGGTATATCCGCGTTGCATTAGCCAGTATAGTGCGCCGTGGGACACGGACAGCGTAATTGAGAGGCTGTTCCACTCGAATAGCGTAGGTACGGCAAGCTGATTGAGTTGGCTCCTGAAGCTAGGAACTCAGGTGAGTTCCGAGGATAGCACATGCTAAGGCATAGCCATCAGATACTTAAGCCAGGGCACGACACAATAGAGCAAGTTCCCGTAATCCATGTTTCGAGAAGTATCTTGGTCTCCTCAGCTGTATGGCTCATTCAAGATCCAGTATCGTGAGTGTACCGTCATGTTTAGGCTATAGGTCGAAAAAAGAGCATAAACGCTTTCCCACATGAACGGGTGTATCAGTGAACAATATCATGCTAAAAGTTTCGGAAACAAACACACACTCTTGAATATTTCTTAACATTGAAATATCATAGAAAAGAAAGTTGGAATGGGTATCGTCGTGTTTTGTAAGATCGAGGAAGGCCATCTCTGGTCTGCGAGGACGATCTGTAAGAGAATTTGACATTGGAAATTTGGAGGCAGTACCGGATTTCCTCTCCGTGCAGTCAATGACACTTATCAATATTGAAAAGATCCTTTCAAGGCCAAGATCAAGACCATGTCTGAAGTTTAGTATCAACCTCTCCATCGTATTATGTCGATATTTTTCATGGAAAGATACATTTCAGTATTTCTAAGTTCTGTAGGACCTAACGTGCGTTACAGATTCCGCGAAGATTCCCGCGGCATACAATCCAATAGCTTATTTGTTATTCCTCTTCGATACCTGTTACCTCAAAAGACGGAAAACTAGACTCGTTCAGGGACCTCTGTTTCTGCGCCGTAAGGTCAGGTTGAGTGCGAATCAACACGTTGTGCGAAAAATTGAAAGGCTCTGTAGAACTCTCCAAGTTCCTGTAGTCGCAGGCAGGACATATCAAGGCCGGCATATCTAAAGACAATGAACATCTTATACCATGGTCGGCCTTTTTCTAATCCAGGTAGTTGACGGCAGCAAGAACAATCCATGTTTTTTATGGTTTTGCGGGATTTCAGCAGGCCTTCTCATTCAACACCAGCAGGGGATCCTACTACTAGACTGGGGAATTCTTACTTGAGCTACGCGGTTTACGTCTACGGATGAGCGGCAACTGCCGTTCACCTACCTTTGTCACGGATGAAAGTGCCGAGCAGACAACATGGGGAACCACGTGCGAATACTTGGCCGTTTGCAACCAAGCCTCGCAAATATTTGACGTAATCATCACTTGAGGATGAACCTCTCTCTACAGCATACGATGGCCTACGAAGGTCTGAAGAACGCCTTCCAGCTGTTAGGTATAACTGAAAGTAGAGGTGCTAACGGCATCAATTATGGCGCCTTCAGTGAGCCTCGATCGAGGCTTCACCAAACAAGCTTCACGCTGACGTGAACGGCTGACTATGTGGCAGTGCCTGCCCAGTAACCGAAGACTACTTCAATGAATCCAGCTTGTCTAGGCATTCACCGTTGTAGAGCCAAGCCGGCAGTCGATTACGGGCGGCGTGGTGTCAGCGTCATGTGCCGTATCCGTACGGGTTTTGGGGGCCAGGAATAGACTTTGGACAAGCATAATCGCCAGTCCCGAGGTTTGGTATCCCGAACCGGAAGCACTGACGAGTTCTCGAATAAAGTTTACCGCATTTCCGGGTCAGGGAACGAGGCCCGATCGACCGGCTGTCTTGGGAACGGGCAAAACGGGGTCCATCATGGATCAGGAGGCCGGAGTAGCTTGCGCGGTCGCCGTAAGAGGCGCGGAAGGCCGGTAGAGCGGGGCGGAACTGGATGCTTTCGTCGCGGGGGCGGTGCCGCCGACGAGTCCCGGGACTCAGCCCTGCCCACATTACGGCGCACACGTCAACGGCAACACCGGGTAATTAATATCGATCATGGTGATGTGCAAGACTGCATCGGGTTGTGGCGTGAGCCCTATGGTTGGGTGGATGCTTGGCGTCAGCTTTTCGCCATTGCTGCCCAGGTTGTGTGTCGTGTGAGCGACCACCCGTTTGAAGAGAATGAATTTTTAGTCTTTTTTGTCAGTTGATGATAATCCAGGCTGGCCCTTGGACGATGGACCCCGGCCAAAAGCCTTTCACTGACCCTCGCCCTCTTGCTATGATGCTTATCTGCATTAAAGGCGAACCTTGCTTGCATGAGCAGTGGGGCGGATGCGATGAGTGCAAAGATAGAGGCGCAGACGTATTCGCACGCATACGCAGAGTCTCTCCACTTTGAACAATGTCCAGGCCTCCAGGATCTATTCGTAGCTCGACGCGCCTGGGGCCTGAGACCAAGTCCAAAGTCCTGGTGAGTGGAATAAACGGTTGATGAAGAGCATTCTCCAGTCGCGGCGGGAATAGTAACAATATGGGCGAGAACGTCTCGAAGGATTCCGTCAGTTTGATTCAGGCATTCCTTCTCTTCGCCCGACGGTTGGAAGACTGAGACAATTCGAGGGCGTGTGTTCAGTCGGGAGCACCGGCAAACGGCCAAGACAACGCCAATTCTCCCACCACCAACCATAACGCTTTGCGAGATCCCCAGCCTTTTCTTGTCTGGATTCTGGAGAGTGACAGGGTCATCTTGCTGACGCCGAGGAGAGAGGGACTGTACCAAAGCATCACTGCATCGCTATCTGCAATCTGATTTCGTATAAGGATGAGCATGGTAATCCGTACCAAGACTGTAGTGTGTTTGGTCGTGGTTTGTTGTTGGTCTTGTTTGGCCGGTTCGGCGCCGAGGCATGCAGCCACAATCGAGTGCAGACACGAGTGCGGACATCGGATTGCTTCCTCATTTCACCATGATTGCCGCCTCCCTTCCTGCTACCTGGTCTAAGTTCTGAGCGATGCTTCCCAGGCTGAAAGCCACAGCTGTCTCCCGACTGCAAGTTGTTGTCGCCCTCGGCACAGGATGCCGGTTGTCGACGCCAACCACGCGGCCAGTGACGAGTTGCCATAGTTGACAGGAGAAACCTGAAACCGGGGGGCCACGAAAGCTTCTGTTGCTAGCCGCCAAACTTGTGTTGGCTAGCGACAACTCCTCGAACGTGCCGTGAGCCGTCAGAAGAGAAAGGGTCGGTCACCGTTGGTAACACAGCTCTGGGTCCAACCAGCAACGACATCGGACCAGCGAGGGCGGGGAGGGAAACGGACGATGGGCGGAGCGGAAGTGATTGAGCCCCAAACAGCGGAAGCATGCGCCACGGCGTACAGTACCATGCCAGCTGTATGGAGGATGGTATCTGTAGATTCGTAAGGTAGTCCTGGTGCTGAATTATGCATCTAAAAAGAATAATCAATGGGCAGAAAAAGAAAAAGGAACAGCGGCACCTGGTTCGACTGGGAACAAAAGTTGCAGACAGCCGTTGTCGCCAAAAGGGAGAAGTGGCAGGGGTATCTTGCAGGGCCACGCGTCGCTGTGGGGCCACCGGCGCCAAGTGCCAATTGGAGCACACTGAGGTCTGAGGATAGTTGACCAGCCGAGACTGAGAGGCGTGAGGACTGAAAGAAGACGTGCGAGTTGAGGGCGTGAGTCTGTATGTCAGAGCGGAACGGTAAAAATGGAAAGGTGAGGTTGCTGGTGCCGGGACGTTTCTCTTCTGGAAGGGGAAAGGGGTCTGTCTCTCTTTGGGCCCTGAATACTTCAATTTTCAGCCATGCCACTGGCCTCTGTGCACAATCTGGTTGGATATCGTTTGATCGACCTGGTGGGTTCGGACGGACGACTCGAGTCGTTCATCGTGTCTTTCGGTGCCATTCGTGTCAGTTTGGGACGTTTATACTCCATAACAGACGTTGCGCTGAGGCAGAGCCGCTGATCGCCATACGCGGAGCGGATTGATCCTGGATATGCGCCTGGCAGCCGGGGCGAGGGGTGTCGAATTAAAAATAAATGCTGACTGCAAGTCGTTGAGCGCTGAATGAGGCTGTTGGTTTGTTGGATCTTCGGCTGTAGTCTTGAGCCTTGAATTCTGATCGAAAACCGCAGTGGTTGTTCCCATAGTATCCCGTACGTACGCGATACGGAGTACGGTCTGGTCGAATCCTGTATGCCAAGTAGCGGAACGGGATTCACTGTGTTGCCGGCGCGCATATGGCCAAAAGGCCCAGTGACGGCCAAGGTGAAGCCCCGACGGAGCGGCCTCACGTCATTGGACGGGGAGGGGGAAGCTGAATGGCGCCAAGGGGGCGGGCGCGTTGAGACACGAGAAGTTGACAGTGAGACTCTCAAGGAACCAAAGCCGCGCCAATCTGCCCATGTAAGCCATGGTGCGCGGGTAGGAAATGGGGTCGTGCCGTGTGTGCCTGGGTATGTACAGTACCTACGGGTCCATAGGTAGCACCTTAGATACGGAGTACGGCGCTCAGTTTTGTCCCAAGTTGTTTGATCCGATGCCAATTAAGGTAAAGTAAGGTAGGCCATGTGTGTCCGTGGCCACTGACCGTCGGGCGCAGCAGTGGATGGGATGACCTTGGCTGCTTTCAATTGTTTGAAGCCTCGAAGGCAAATATGCAGATTTCGGGGGAATCGACATCGGATGAAGGATGACTGCCTGAGAATGTCTGATGGGAATCCGTGGGTGTTGGTAATCGTCAATGGGCACGCGACACTTCCATGAGTGACTTGGCCCGGGGCTTGCCTCATTCGTTGTGTACGCAGTACCTAGTATGTACTAAATCGCCCCGTCATCGATATCTCGGTCCCGCGACCGAGAAATTGGTGATTTGGGGTATCATGGAAGGAACCGCCCAGAATCTGGATGTGTGCCCACGGGCAGGAGCTACATTAAAAATTGGGAAGTACATAGTAGACATGGGCACCTTCTATCTGAATGGGTCTATGGCCCGGGAAGGGGGGGGGGGGGATTTGGGGAGGTTCCATTGTGACGTTGGCAGCTCCGATAAGGAAGGATCACAGTTCCCATAGTCAGGTGCTCTCTTGCCGTTTCGGCCAAACGGCGATGGCCCGGGTCCCCTCCACCTCGGCATTCGCTTACACTGTAAACGAATTCGCCTAGGTACATTTCCTTTTCTTACATTTTCGTTCGTGGTCCTCTTAACTCCTCGTGAGATGACTTGAGATGACTGCAATTGACTTTGCGGCTGACTGACTGCCACTTCGGACTATGTTGCTGATATCAGATCGTCAAGACAACCTATGCCAGAGTGGTTGTTAGTTACTACGAGTTAACCGGCCCGTCGGCACACTCGGCACTAAGCCTAGCACCGAGCAAACGGCGGTGCATACAATGTGACAGCCAAGGGCGATACCTATCGAATGACTGAGTACCTTACTCTCCCCTAAGAAGACTCAAGAGAGCAAGGCAGATATCGGCTAGTCGACTATGTCCCCTTAGCTCCACGCAAGTGGCACCGGCGCTGACCTTGACGCTGGAGCCACCCCCAAATTGTGCCAAGCCCGTTAGCGGCTTATGCGGCGACTGGCAACCTGTCTGGGAAGTCTGGGACCACATGCCTGCACCTGGAAGTTGCAAGTTGCAAAGACGGCGAGGACCGTCACCAAGGAAGGAGAAGAAGCACGAGAGCAGAAAGTGAGCAACAGCAGGAGCACACGACACCTGATGGAAGGGTGTAAGGTGGTACCCCGTACCTACCTTACCTACCTAATGCCATAAGGTACCTCACTCCGTAATGTACCTTACCCAAAGGCCCAATGGCAGGACCACCGTCTCCACCCCTGCCGTTCCGAGCTTTGGAGAGAGTCAGAGGGGCAAGTGCCAAGTGCAAGTGCAAGTGCAAGTGCAACTGCGCGACCGCAACGCAACTGCCAACTGCAGATTCTGATATTCCGCCCACGCTCACGCTCCAACGTCGTCTCCTTTCTCTCACCCCTGCTACCTTGACCCCCGTCTTTCCCGGACCACACCCACCGGGTCCCATTTTGCTCAAGCTTCTTTTTTGAGATTGTTCCCTACGGCGGAACGCTCCTCTCCTCCTCGAACCCTCGCCAGTCTGTGTTGATTTTTGTGTTTTTAATTAACCTTTACTGGATCCCAATGGGCCCTTGTCTATCCGTACGGTCTGGCTACGAATACACTCGCGGCATGAGCAGGCGCAGCAGTGTCTAGTACCACCGTAGGACGCGGCTTGTCACCCGCTCCCGGTCACCGGCGACAGCCCGGGCCCTGGCCGCCCTGCCTCCATCAACTCCTTTCGACGCGGGATTACGTATGCCGCTCAAACATGGCGCATACGCGCAAACCCGCCAGTCTCAGTCTCTTTCCGACTCTCTCGCAAAGGAATGTGGGTGTCTGCTTTTTTTATTTTTATTTTTTACCACCATCGTACGTACGCTCTCTACGTAGTACCTAGTAGCTATCCATAGCCCATACCCCGTACGGGTACCTTACTACTACTACTACTACTACCGTTATTTGCGACCCAGGCGGCTTAGACAAGTCCCCTGTGATATCACCTTTCGTTGTTGTTCTTGTTTCCTTGGCACTGTGGAATACTCAATAAAAAGGAACAGTCAAATGCGAGAAAGGAGGCCCCTCGGAAACACTGGAGCCTGTAGCAGCATTATCATCTTGGCAAAGAAACCGAAAGCTGCAAGAAAGAAAACCCTCCAAAAAATCCAGTTCCGTAGGTGCTCCATGGTCTGCGTGGGGATTCTTTGCCATGGCGGGACTCGGGATGCTGCACTAATACCATGACCGGGATCACCACACACCCTCCACAAGCCCACTCCCACACCCTCACACCTCCATCCCTCACTCGTCTCCCGTCACCACACGCCTCTCGGGCTCTCTCTCTCTTTCCTCTGGCCCAGTCTCTCATTCACTCACACTCCCATGTATGAATACACGAATCCCACTCCCTCCACCTCCCACACATCCATTCGATGTACTTACATATCACCTCCTCCTGCCCTGCTGCGCATCCCTAATGTCCGCTCCGGTCTTCTTCTCTTACCTCTTATTCCTTGGCATCTGCGTGTTTTGACATCCTTCGGTAACATAGACATAGACCTGACCTCGACATCACGGTCTGAACACCTGCATCAACACATTTCACCATCTCTTCCTCTGCGTCAGAGTTGATCGGCTCCCCTCGCCCGCGGTTCCGCCCTCTGGAACTCGTCTTATATACCGCCATCGCCTGACCAGCTTCAGCAGTACCCAAAATTTCGCCCACTCTGTTTTTGACCGACTCCAGAAATCGAAAGGATTATTCTACGCTTTCTCTCGTTTATCCCAGTCGCTTGCTATTACTCACCGAACTTGACTTGAGGCAGTCAACAAACGAATTACCTTCATCGGCCCCTCTGGCTCCTGTCATATCCACCTTCACCTCCTTCCTGCCTCGCATCGGCCACCTCCCGAAGACAACTTCTTGGCATTACGAGGCCTCCAGAAAACTCGACAAACAGCAGCATCCCGCCATTTTTTGGAACTTGGGGATTCTTGTTTGCCGTCATTGTTACCGAGTAATCACCCATCATTCTGGATCTCGATATCAAGAATCCCACTCAAGCAACACAACAACGCAATTAGCCAAGATGCGCTTCAACCTTACTTTTCCACTCGCCGTGCTGGGCCTCACATCAACTGTTCTTGCGGCACCTCAAGCAGCCAGAGATGTCAGCCAATCCTCACCACCGACCATCGAAAAGCGTGAGGACACCAAGTACTTCCACGAGCCCTGCTGTGGCGAAGAGCTTGGCCACTACGATATCCGTTATTTCAAGCAAGCTGTGGGCTACGACGAGCACCGTGTTGTTCTCCGCAACCTCGTCCGCTCCTACCTGACTATTACCAAGAAGCTCAAGGTTGAGACATGGCTCGCCCACGGCACGCTTCTGGGTTGGTGGTGGAACGGCAAGATCATGCCCTGGGATTACGACCTCGATGTTCAGGTCTCGACGGCGACTCTGTACTGGATGGGTCAGAACCTGAACCGCACCGAGCACGACTTCGACTGGACCGACACGGATGGCAACGCCAGAAAGGAACGCTACCTGCTCGACGTCAACCCCCACGGCACTGACAAGGACCGCGGCGACGGCCAGAACATCATTGACGCCCGCTGGATCAACATGGCCAACGGTGCCTTTATCGATATTACTGGCCTCGCCGAGCGCGACCCCTCCGGAATGCCTGGTGTCTGGAGTTGTAAGAACTACCACCGCTACCGCACCACCGACCTTTTCCCCATGCGCGAGACCGAGTTCGAGGGTGTCCCCGCCACCATTCCCTACAGCTTTGAGCGCATTCTTTCCGAAGAGTACGGTACCAAAAGCTTGGTGACCACCGAATGGCAAGGGTAAGTTTAGAGATCTGCGTTGGGATCCATGCTTTTTGTTACCCCCAAATAAGCTTTGATCCTGGTGGCGGAATTCCGACTCTTATTTTCACGACTAACACGATATGCAGACACAAGTGGGAACCGGAGCAAAAGGAGTGGCTCAAGACACAGCAATAGCTGAAGGCTGTTTGCTTTCACTGATTGCAGAATCTGCATGACTGGAACGTGGATCAGTTCAAGCGATGGCTTTTCCAAGCCGCAACACGGCTTTTTCTTCTTTTTGTTCCGTTTTGAAGCAGAAAAACATGGGCATTTGGGCGATAGCAATTGGCGTCGCCGTACGCCTACATGCATTGGCGGCGTTTCCGGACATGGCATAGGCATGACATCAAGGCGTTCTAGGAAAGGGATATCATACCGGGAGGACACTCGGACGAGGTCTCTCTCTTTTTTTCTTTTCTTTTCACAGCATTCATGGGGGAGGCGGCAATTTGTACGAGTAACAGCATGGCTCACCTGTTGGGTAGAAAGATATCACTACCTTATATGACCCGTCGCATTGAGGGTTTAGATGGTCATGCAAAATAGCATGATGCGAAACTACAATGCGAGCACCTATTTGGGCACCCACCAATCGTTTTGAGAGCGGATATTCATCGTGATTGAGTTGACTAACTACTCCGTGACCAGCGAGGTCAGTTGATGTCCCATGTCCAAGCCACCGCAACGCCTGCGCAATGCTAAATCCAGAAAGCAAAGTAACAGTAACACCATACGAACGCTTCAATGTTGCTCCGAGTACCATGCAGAACCTCTACGACGACGGGCCAGAGTCAGGCTTTCCTCCGTCCCTCCTCTCCATGTTCATTTTTTTAGCTCTTTCCTCTGCAGCCTTGGCCAGGATCTCTCGTCGGCTCAAGCCAGCGTTGCCACCACCGCTTCCTCCCACGACGAAATCACCACCTTCCCAACCACCATGGTCCTCGACGTCCTCTTCCTCGTCTTGTCCCGGCGCATAGTACGAAGACCCCTCTCCGACCGTGTGTCCGCCATGTTTCCAGTCCGCCGCGTCGACTTCGCGCTCGATCTGATGGCACAAGTCCCAAAAGTTGCGGTCATGGTCGCTGTGTACGTTATGCGCCAGCTCATGGCACAACGTCTTGCGAATGGTCTTGTAATCTCTGTAGCCGTCGTGCGCATCCGTCCTCAGCCGCAATTCGATCGCTTCTCCATTATTGCGGTTCAGGCCGAGGAGTCGAGTCGTCCCCTCGTGGTTGGACTGCGTGTTGGACAGGGGCTCCATCTCCGTCAAGACGCCGACGCTGAACTTGTGCTTGCGCATGGAGGCGCGGATGCCCGGATCCTCTTTCAGCTTCTCGAGAAGCGCCAGAGACCTCTCTGGACGCGGGAGGCCTGCTAGCGGCCGGACGGAGAGGAAAGTATAGGTGCTGTCCGCCTGTGCGCGGCCCTGGTCTCGCCTCCTCGAGGGCCGATTCTGTCTGCGGGCGGCGCTGCGGGCAGCGTTTCGTTTCGCGGCGAACTCGGATGCGGCTTGGAGGGAGGCGACCTCCTTGGCCTCGACGCCCATGAGCATGATCTTTTTGTTTTGTAGGTCGACGAGGGACATGTCGGGGTCTTTGAAGGGGGGTTTGAGGAGGCCGAGCTTCGGAACGATGAACTTCTGATTCGAGGCGGGGATCAAGAGGGTGTCTTCGACATCTTCAGAGAGGTGGGTGATTGTTCCATCCGGAGGGAATTTAAAGGTTTGTGGTGTGTTGCGGTGGGTGAGCGTTATGGTGATGGCTTCATCGGCGGAGTCGTCGTAGTCGGACTCGCAAGAGTGTGCTTCGGCCATGATGGTGGGGGTTTGAATTGGTGATCGTAGTCGGGTGTAGTGTATCAATAAAACTTGGTATTTTGCTAGATATTTCCAGGGTTGCAAGGAGTGCGCCAAGTTGTGCGTCTATATACAGAGGTGGGTGGCACTCATGGAAATGTTGGGAATCACAACGAGTGCGGGCTGAGGCGCAGATGGCCACCCCGTGATGGGACTCGCGGAGGTTTGTCATTCAGGCAGCTTTGTAATACGTCACATCTTGGCGCACCTGGGAACTCCCCGACCTCCGTCGCGTTCGGGGCAGCGGCCTGGACTTGAAAGTGGAGTCCGCGATTCCCGTAGCGCAGATTTGGGGATCCCGCTCCGATTACCTTACCTAAGCCTATGAGAACCCGTTCCTACATGGATGATTACCTCAGCTTCTCACTCCGAGTCGAGGTGCTGCACCTTAGGTTCCATCTTTCCATGCCGAAGGACCCCACAGCAGGTAGGTGCCTTAGCCTCCAGGAACGAAAGAGCGCAAAGTGTCTCATCTTCATTGCGTGCCTTACCTAAGCCCTGCCGGAAGTGTCTCGTATTAGGTAAGGCGGACAACAGCTCCCGTCGCCGCTGGCCAGTCACTGTAAGGTTTGGTACGAAGCACTGCGTAAGGTACCTGAGTGTTTAGTTGTGTGGCTCGAGTGTTCGGTTCCAGCTTCCAATGAGCTTGCAATCGCGTTCGTGTCCTTTCAACCCTCCTGGAAACCCAAAAAAGCTGCCAGTTGTGCTAAACGCAGTCTCGAAGCTCCCTCCCCAG